GCAAATCGTCTACGAGCAAGTTGGCCGTCCGGTGGCTTCACTCACGCTGCAGCGAACGAGCGGGGAAGCCACATCCAGCAATTGTCATAGAGATCAGTGATTGTACATATGAAAGTGGCGCCTAAACGCGAAGCTGTGTGCAGTGTTGCTATTTGCTATTTGTAATGTCCTTTACGAACTATAAACACTATGTTTGCAGTATGTTTAGCTTTGCTGGGCTATTTGTAGTTTTCAAATTTAACGCTCCACGCACGTAATGCTCACTTTGCGTACCAGCCGCTCTGGCAATAGTGCCAGTGGGAGCACCGGTTCTTCAGATTCAGACTTTCAGAGCTCTTAGGAGTTCTATTTAGAGTATAAGAGCCCATGATCTGACAGAGAAGCTTCGTAAAAACCTCCGGTTAGAAATCTAAAGCCGCTGGAATGTCACAGAAGCAAACGCACCAAAATGAAACCGAATAAAAGAAAAGAGACAACTTTTTGCCATTAATATATTTTCATTTGATACATCTAAACCTAAACAGCATGCAGGCAATGTACGGGCTCCCACTAGATAATTAAAAAACAACAACTGTGCATTGACCTTTTGTTTTATACTATTCCTTTGGAAACAAACCCAACCACTGAAAAAATTCTTTTATTTATTTATTTATTGATACTTTTAGCCCTATTACAGGGCCATTACAGGAGTGGAAGGTACAAACGATAAAAAGCAAAAATATACAAGATGTAAATACACACAGTTCTCGCATTTCGCTTGGTTTCATAAAAAATGCTGACACTTCATAGATAACTTCCCGTGCTGGCACGTAATCAAGATGATACACACGATACTCATTCAGTTACTCGCACATATCAAAACGCTTTCAATGCAGTGAAGGAAGGTCATAATGGATGATGATGTCACCGTTTCATTCGGCAGTTTATTCCATTCCCTGACGGCTCTTGGGAAAAAACTAAATTTAAAGCAATCGTTTTTCACAGAATATTCTCTTATGTATAGACGATGCCGGTGCCTTGATTTTTCGTCTTTAAGAACTTGGAAATAATTATCTTTGTTTATCTTTACATATTCATTAATAATTAAGAAAATAAATTTTAATCTCTCAAAGTGCGTCCTAGACTCGAGGGTTGGAAGATTAGCCATTTGACAGAGCTCAGTAGGAGAATGATCGCGCCGGTATTTGTTATAAATGAACCTTTTAGGGGAAAAAAGAAACAAAAAAGAAACTGAAGCCTTCAAAGGGTTAAAGAGATCCATTACATTTAGAGTACTATTTATTTGTTTTATTATTGCATAATAACTGACTTGTTTTTTTTAAAGTTGGGAATATAAAGGTATGGATGCAGGGTATTAGAAACACACATGCTAGTAGTCACTTTGAGAGACTTCTAACTCAATTGCAGAATTTTTCCTGTATCTCAAAAAACACCAAGTTTTCACAAACCGCTGTGCTTTTAGCAAATTGCAAAAATATTTAAAATTTAACGTTTTTTTTTTTTTTTTTTATAAAACATTTTGGAGTTTTTACAAGACAGGGTTCCTAACAGGGTAGTAAATTCTGACAACTACTACTAGTGCCCTCCAGTTTCAAGTGCCACAAGAAATTCTAGGGAGTTTTGTGCTGTCTCACATTACAGTTTTCACCCTTAGGCCCACTTTAGACGGGGAAATTTCTCCCAGCAACTTGACGTCTGAACACCAGCAACGCAAGACACACAGCATCCAATCACTGCAATTTGCCATCATCATCATCATTAAATTTCATTTTTCTTGCACTATTTAGACACACAGTTACACGCTAACATGTTTTTATACATTTAAATGGCATTGGGAATACTAACTCACCTTTCTGAAACAGTTGATTTCCAAAAACAATCAAAGACGTTTGTACATGAATACATTGCGTCCCTGATTGGCCTGCTGCCGCTTCAAACGTCTTGAAATTGCTCCGAGTTGCTCGTTTGTTTCGAGCAGGACCCGATCTCAACAATTTGTGTCGATCTAGGGAAAGCTAGGGAACAGCCCGCCAACAACCCCAAAACTGCCGATAAAATTGCCCCATCTGAAGTGGGCCTTAGAGGGCCCCTACAGCCCAAATGGAGTGTCGTTAGCTTCATATAAACATGTTGTGGCAGATACCAGGACCCGGAAGTGTCCACGAATTATAAGTTTGCGATTTGAAGAATAAAGCATATAAAACGCCTCTGGAAATTTCCGTACCGCACTTCACTCAATAATTGAGCTGCGATGTAACAAGAGGGGAATGCTGTCTCCTTACGGCACCCCTTCCTCCGCCCTCCTTGCCATCTATCCATTGCTGCTTCTCCCGCCGTTCCGCCTGTTGGTGGAATGGGGCTTCCGAGAGCGGTTCGATGTTATTGATAAGCAGGAAAAAACTACGAAAAGGCATGACGTCACGATTAGTGGCTGCAGTATCCTGGTACGTCACAGGTTTCGTCGAGCGACGATACAAATTAATTTATTCATTGTATAATTTTTCTTGTTCAATACAACCTACCTCCCCTCTGTAATGCCGTTGGCCCTGAGGGTGTAGAAATAAATAAATGAATAAATAAAATATGTGTATAAATTTTGAGCTTCTCAAATTAATTTCCCAATGAATCTTAGTTATTTTGGTTTAATAATTTCGCAGCGAGTAATTGAAGGTATGTAAAATTGTGGGAGGCGTGGAGACCTGTGATCACTATTTTTAGGCTGGAAAAACCCTTTTAATATAAGATTAAAAAAAAAAAAAAAATTTTCAAATGAATTTTGATTTTTAGTTTTTGTTGACTATGTTGTGATCATGACAGAGGATGGTGAAATTTGGGTGTTTTACTCTACTTCATTGAGTACTTCAATCTCCGTGCATCATGCATGATTAGGACAATTTCTGGTAGCTTGCGAAGCAGTTTGAATGCTCTCACCCTGTTTGATTTTTACACAGAAGGCACACATTTTAGAGTGACGTTCTTTTGCTTCTAAAGTCCTCTAAATTAGGCCTGTTGCTCTCTTTCCAGGTGTCTACGGATCAGAGATTGATGAGTCATTCTAACAAGAGCATTGCGTGCTTCATGGATCCGGAAGCATGGTTTACAGTGGAGCTGCAGGTTTACAACTGTAATCAAAATGTTATATTCCTCACAGCCCTACACAAGTTGCGTACCAATACCATTGAAATATCACTTTGTTTTCAAGGATGGTGGTTTAATTACTTGTACATTGCTTTAACCGGTGTTCCATGGCAAACATGTCACAGTTCCTGATCTTAACGAGTAAAGTTTTGTTAGACTTTGACTATATTTTATTACACAGAAGCTTTTATTGTATAGTTATTTTCTGCGCTGGAGATTGGCTTCTGTGGCCCTAGACTATGTGGTAGCCGTTCTACTTTAATTATAAGTATGACGGCAACGGTCTCAGTAAATAATGTTTTATTGATCTGTCTGATATACTGGATTTCATGTCCTTTTGTCGACAGTATTGTTTTGTTAAAAACCGCTCGGATGAAATTTTACAAAGAAAGTTTAAGGTGCTTCGTTGATGTTGAAGAGTGTTTAGTTTGATTGCGACAGAATTCAATAAGTCGTTTGCATTTTGATATTACCAGACTTCTCTATGAAATGTTTGTCCTGACCAGACTTCGCTATGAAATGTCTGTCCTGAAAAAAAAGTAGGAACTAAGTCAGTACAGTGCATTAACAAAATTATATACACCTATGCGGAGCGCAAGTTCGTCTGCTGGTTTCTTTTTTAGGGGTTTTGGTGACGTCAGAACTCCGAGCTCTCAGTGGCTCTGATTGAAGGATAGTGGGTAGACCTCAAAGCAAGCTGCCTTGGAGTCTACCCACGACAGGGGTTTCCCCAGGAATTGAAATTAGGGGGAGGGGGGGGGGGGGGGGGGCCTAAATTTTTAGGTGGGGGGCCTAAATTTTTAGGGGGGGGGGGGGGGGGTCATTAAGAATAGAGGAGTCATTGCCAATTAAGGGGGTGCCTTCAGAAAAACAAGGGGGATGGGTGTACACCCCCCCCTAGGGAGTGTGTAGGGAAATCACTGACCCACTATCCTTCAATTGGAGCTCGGCGTTCTGACGTCACCGTAACCCCTGCAAGTGAAGCAGACGAACTTGAGCTTCGCATAAGCATAGATGCTAAGGGCCTCTCTACAGAACATATTTTATTACAAATTGTTTTTTTATAGTTTTTTTTTTTCAATTGATTTTTATAAATATTTAATATATTTTAAGTTAGAGTGGATACTTCTAGGTACTTCAACTGCTGCACTGCACTTTTGTACAGACATGTTAATAAATATTTGTTAAAAGTGATCTGACATTCCTTTTTTTTTTTTTTTTCCAAGTTCTTCCTTGTTCAAGACGAGTGAAATAAACAAAACAAAAAACCATGCACTTATATCAGTCCAAAATATTAAGACGTGTGTGGGCTCTGGTTGATTAGAAAAGTTAAGAAGGAAATAAAAATATCCCATTTTCGCTACCACTCCTCGGCGGGATTCGACCCCCTTTACACAACCCCCTCGCCTCCCTCGCTCCCCTTTTTGCCGCTTCTTTCCTCCTCTCATTCCAGGGTCCGGATCACTGATCTCAATCAGTGGTCCGGATGGTTCGGAGCAACTTGGTTTGGAGCTTGTCAGCCTTAAAACGCTTAAAACCCTGTACGTTGCAAATCGAAAGTTGCTTCGTCCGTCCTTCATGTGTTATTCTTTCTCGTATTTAACTTTCTCATCAACGCGTTCAACAAAATTATAAAAAAAAGTTCCGTTGCGAAGTTTGTTTCAAATTCTGTTCGCCAGGTGACACTAGTTACTATACAATTCGATACGCTAGAGTTATATGCGCGTATGTCTAGGGTGATATAATCTTAATAACGCAAGAACTTTATTATTTTTAATAACGTGTTTTTTTGTCAAACTAAAATTAATATCTAATCAGTTGAAAACTTTCTACCTTTTATTGATCGTTTTTCCGGCGCGAACCACGCACGTGAAGCCTACTTGAGGTACGCTTTGGGTGCACTAGGGCAATCCGCGCTTTTTGTGCTTCATCCATTCGTGCCCACAGTTTGCAATTTTCGCCATTTTCTCTTGGTTCTTCACGTCATATGCGTGCAGTATCGCGATTTTGTCGTGTTCGATATCGGATATATTCCGAAGTCACCCTGATCGCCCGGTGAGCTAAAACTTCTTAACTCATCATGCCGATCTATTTTCAACGTCCAGAAAATGCTCTCAAACGAGCCCGAGAGTTCATCGATGTCGGGAAGAAGCATCGTGCACTCGACGCACTCTACGATGTCATCAAGAGCCGCAAACACAGGACATGGCAGAAAGTCCACGAGCCGATTATGCAGCAGTACTTGGAGCTCTGCGTCGAGCTCAAGAAGAGCCACATCGCCAAGGAGGGCCTGTTTCAGTACCGCAACATATGTCAGCAGGTCAACATCAAGTCTCTGGAGGACGTGGTCCGTGGGTACCTGGACCTTGCCGAGGAAAAGACCGAAGCCGCCCGCGAAGAATCCCAACAGGTCGTGGTGGACATCGACGACTTGGACAACGTTCAGACGCCAGAGAGCCTGCTGCTGAGCGCCGTGAGCAGCGAGGACACCCAAGACCGAACCGACCGAGTGGTGCTCACGCCCTGGGTCAAGTTCCTGTGGGAGTCGTACCGGCAATGCCTGGAGCTGCTCCGCAACAACTCGCGGGTGGAATGTCTCTACCACGACATCGCCCGCCAGGCGTTCAAGTTCTGCCTCAAGTACAACCGCAAGACGGAGTTCCGCAAGCTGTGCGACCACCTGCGCACCCACTTGGGCCAGATCCACCGCCACCAGAGCCAGCAGACAGCGGTGAACCTCAACAACCCGGAGAGCCAGGCCATGCACCTGGAAACGCGGCTCGTGCAGCTGGACAGTGCCATCCAGATGGAGCTCTGGCAGGAAGCTTACAAGGCCACCGAAGACATCCATGGTCTCATGACCCTCTCCAAGAAATCTCCGAAGCCACAGCTGATGGCCAACTACTACCAGAAGCTTGCACTGGTGTTCTGGAAGGCTGGTAATCGTCTCTTCCATGCTTCAGCCTTATTCCGTTACTTCCATCTGGCCAAGGACCTGAAGAAGAACATCACCTCTGAGGAAATCCAGAAGATGGCATCTAGAGTAGTGCTGGCCACCCTGGCAGTGCCCATGCCACCGAACCGACCCGAGATAGACCGTCTGGTCGAGACGGAAGAGAATGTAAATGACAAGAGCCACAGGCTGCTGGCAACCCTCCTGGGACTGAACACCCCGCCCACAAGGGCCAGCCTCGTCAAGGAACTGGTGCGGCTTGGCGTGGTGGGTTTAGCCCCCCTGCAGCTTCAAGACCTGTACCGCTGGCTCGAGGTGGACTTCCATCCGCTGAAGCTGTGTGGCCGTGTGAGCCAGTGCTTCGACTTCATCAACAAGTGGGAAGAATGCTCAGAGCTGCGCATGTATGTGTCGGCCCTTCAGGACATCACGGTCATGCGTCTGCTCAAAGAGGTGTCGCAAGTCTACCAGACCATCGAACTGAGCCGTTTGTTGGAGCTGGCCCCCTTTGCCACACCGTTCTATCTCGAGAACATGGTGGTCGATGCCGTGCGCCGCAACAACCTGCAGGTTCGCATTGACCACAAGCAGCGCTGCCTTCACTTTGGTTCTGAGCTGAGTGTCTCGCAGCAGGAAGAGGTGGTAGAAGGACCCCACCTGCAAGGCATGCCCAGCGAGCAGATTCGCTGCCAGCTCGTCAAGCTCTATTCAGTGCTCCAGCGGTCAGTGCACCTGATTCGGCCGGACGAGATCAAGGAATCGACCAAGGAGCTCAAGATGCACATCATTGACGCCTACCGCCTGGTGTGCAAGAAGGAGCACAAGAAGATCCTAGAGCGGCAGCAGATCATTGAGGCGCGCAAGGAAATGCTGGAGAACCTGACCTTCCAGCGTGAAGAGGAGGAGCGCAAGCAGATCGAGGAAAGGCAGCAGAAACTGCGTGAGGCAGAGGAAGAGCGTATTGTGCGTGAAGCAGAAGAGCGTGCCAAGCAGCGCAGCCAGCGCGAGCAAGACGAGATGAAGAAGAAGGTGGTGCTCGAGAAGATTGAGCTGCTCCGCAAGACAGACATCGGAGCCCGCATCTTTGAGGGCCTTGAAGAGGAAGAGCTCGAACGTCTCGATCCGGAAGAAATCCTGAACCGGCAGGTGGAACAACTAGACCGGGAGCGGAAGGAGATGCAGACGAAGCTCAAGAAGCAGGAGCGTAAGGTCGACTACCTGGAGCGAGCCAAGCGGCTCGAGGAGATTGCCCTGCTGCAGGAAGCTTACGAGCGCTCCAAGCTGGAAGATGAGAAGTTCTGGCAGCAGAAGGAAGAAGAGCGCATCCGGTTGCTCGTGCAAGAGCGGGAGATTGCTCTACAGCACAAGGTCCGAATGCTGCGTATGCGGGAGGACAAGGAGGAGTTCCTCAGCCGGCTGACCCAGGACCGCTACCAGGTCTACAAGGACAAGCGGGATCGTTTCGAGGCTCGTCTGGAAGAGGAAAGGAGCAAGCGCCTCGCAGCTCGCAAGGCGGAGCGCAAGGAGGAGCGCCGCGAGAAGTACTTGCGCGAGAAGGAAGAGTCTGAGCGCAGGGCTGCTCTGGAGAAGCAGCGAAAGATAGAGGAGGAGCGTCTGGCCAAGCTGCGCGAGATGGAAGCCATCAAGTTGGCTCGTGAGCGCGAGATTGAAGAGAAGCAGCGCCGCCTGGAGGAAGAAGAGAGGCAGCGTCAAGACACTTCGGAGAAGTCGCGCGCAGCGCCTGCTCGCATTGAGGAGTCCAGCTGGAGAAAGCGGGAGGAAGACTCGAACCGCAAAAACGAACTCTGGAGGGCCAGCCGTCCCAAGGACAACCGCGAAACCGAGCGCAAGTGGGGACGCGACGACAGCGGTCCTGAGAAGGAGAGGGCACCCCCGAGGCCGGAGAGGGACGTTGGCGAGGACAACTGGAGGCGCCGCAGAGACCAAGACGAGGAGCGCCCGGCACCAAGGGCTTCGGAGTCCAGCTGGAGGAGGGACCGCGACACGAGCGACCAGGACGTGGATCGCTCCGGCCCATGGCGCTCGGGCGGCACCGGATCATCGTGGCGCTCTGGAGGGGGAGAACGAGGTGCCAGCACCCCCTGGAAGAGAGGTGGCGAGGACGGCGACAACCGTTCGCGTGACACGGACCGTTTACGAGACGCTGACCGTCCGCGGGACATGGACCGTTCGAGGGACATGGACCGTCGTAGCCGTGACTACGGAGAAGACCGAGCACCCCGCACCGGAGACAGCTGGCGCTCCGGCGGATTGAAAGATTCGAGGGGAGGTGGTGGAGGCGGTGCCTGGCGAGTCGGAGAGGACCGGGATCGGCGCCCGTCGCCCCGTCGGGAAGAGCGTCCCACCGGGGGCTCCTGGAGGGACAAGGAGCCCAGCAAGCCGCGCGAGGAAGGGGACAAGGAGGGCTGGAAGACCGCCCGTTAGAGAGGCGGGACTGCAGTCCTCTCCCTCTACGAAACGCCGTGGCTTCGGTTACGAGACCGTGGTGTCTGCTGGACACCGGGGGGGCCCTTTTTCTTCCCTACCCCATTGGCCAGTTGTGCATGGCCAGCAATACTGGCCAGGTTGACTGGCCCTTGTGCTGTAGGCTTTGTTTAATTATTTCCAATTCAAGTTCCAAAAGGAAATCTTCTCTTAGAAACATATATTCTGAGATAAATAAAGTGGTGCGAAATGGGGGGAAAGTTTAAATGGGACCTGCTGGTCCATTGGCCTCCGATGGTGTCGGTGGATCACTAGGTCCCAATGGCTGTTTCATAGCACGATTGGACTGGTGGGCCCTGAAGCTGATTTTGTAATACAACAGAGCCTTATGGTCTAAATAAAAATTCAGTTCAAGATGGTAGTGTCTGTGTTGTTAACGTTTGAAATTAATCGAGCAGCTTATGTACTTTGAGAGCCCTAGACTACCCTTTTCTGAGGCACAGCTTCGTTCTGAGGGAGGTGAGGGAGTGAGAAAACGTTTTATTAATTCCTTAAAAGATGAAGTCGACGATGAGATTGTGCTGGGAATCATCCACCGACGATTCAGAATCTGAGTCTGAATCAGACCACTGTGAACTGGAAAGTGTTTATTTAATTTCCCATCAGTGACTCTTTCACCACGTGCGCAAATTTTACATGTTTGACATAACTGCTTCATCCATAGAGATCATATACTAAATCTAGAGGAAAAGGTCCGCCATTTTCCCATACATTCTGGCTGCCGCAAGCGGCGGACCATGCAGGCAGACCCTCTGGGTCCCAAACACGGTTACATCATCAGAGCAGTTTCGTGAACTTCAACAATCCACGAACTTACCGGTGGAAAAATACTCGCGTTCCTTTCGAAGGTTTCTTTTTGCATAGCACGCAGATGTACGGCCTCGCGTTAACGCTAAACTAAACCATTTACCCGGCTTCGCTGGTGGGGCGCGGCTAGGCGCGGTTGAGGAATACGAAACTGCGCAATCACCAGATTTCCGAGATTTCGACAGAAGGGAAGTTAATGCAGCGTAATGACTTTATTGCTTTTTATAAGCGTTAGAATAGCTCAGAATTTAGTTTACAACATTAAATTATCACTGTTTATATTGCTGAGAGTTTACACTCTTCGCGTTTACCGCGTTTACCATGGCAACGTTGCTTTCTTTCTCTCGTGTTCTGTCGCTCTCTTTCGCGATCGTTCACTCGGAACCCAGGATGTCGGCGCACGGGATTTGCCACTCCTCCTCACCCACCTTTACCCCCCTGGCTTCATCCCTCCATTCCTGCTCAAAGAGAGAAGCACGAGTTATTTAGCTCACGCATAAATTTCTCTCGCATTCCTCCGACCAGGGATGTTTTGCTTCTTCGTAAGAACTGGTTTTGTAAGATTCTCGAAATGCGTAGACAACAACGCTAAAAAGCTAGAGAAAAAAAAAAAATGAAATCGCCGGAATTTGTATTCACCGGATTCATTTTTATTCTATGGAGTTGGGGCACTAGAAACCTTCCAATTATGGTTCTGTTATTTTAATTATTTGTTTTTAATTATTTTAAAATTAAACTTCTTTTTGCCACAGATTTATATGCGCTGGCAACGTTGGCGCAGGGCAGAAAAAAAAAAAAATCGAAGACACGTGACAGGACCAACGTGACGATGGTGACGACAGGTGAGCGTCGTGAGCGTGTACTGCTGGTACCTGTGGCTGGTACTCCTTGTGCGCGTGAAAGCCGTAAAAGAGAGGTATTTTCAATGACGTGCTGATTTCGGTAAAGTGTTGCTTTGCCAGTATCGCATATTCCACAGTGTGAACGGGATATGTTTGTATGACACGAAAGACAGTAAGCGTTCCATATCTGCAGTTCATTTCGTGAATTTCCTCAAAACGCCCTTGCAGTTTTAAGCCAGAACTTCCTTCTTGATCGGGTGAGTCATCGCAAAACCGATGTCCAGATCGCGAGTTCGAAGCCATAGTTAATTTTTGTTTACTGGTTCATATCTTCCTAATGACCTTGCGTTCATTTCATTTTTGGGATCTTAATGTTTATCGACGGTGCAAGGAGAAGTCAGTTTTCCACTTGACAAGCAAGCAATCGAGGGTACAAGCTAGACGTTGAGCGGTTGTTTATCAAGCTGGCGGCATCGCGTCATAGAGAATGCTCGCGTGCCATGTTTCGGACCGACATTACACGTAGTCTAGAGTCTTGCACGTCGTGTGTAGTAACCGGGCATACTGCCCGATTCGCATCACATGGAGGTGCAGGTTTTATCGCGGCTTTGGCAGGAAGTAATAGCTTGTTTCGCAGAATACGATAGTGCAAAGGGAGGACGAGTTTAGCTATAAGGTTAGCAACTCAAAGGTCAGGGTTTTCTTCTTTTTTGTTTTCTTTTCTGGCCTTGTCCGGTTGTATTTCCGAATGACTGACTCTGTAGTGAAACACAGTGACACTGCAGACATATTTCTGTTTCTCCGAACCAGTCATTCTGCAATTTAGTTTGGTGTGTTATTTGTTCAAAATATTTCAGTCGTCCTGGGTTGGTGGTACCCAATTAGGGAGTGACGCAACGATATCGAGGGTTTGCGGTGTCTTGAAACACCGAGGTGTGCCACGGGCTTTTGAATCTTGAGAGGAGATGGCTGCGAGATGCGATTTATAGGCACCTTTCGAAATCACGTGCCCAATGTTAGGAGTTCCGAAGCACCACACAATGGCGAAACAAATGACACCACCCAACAAGGCAATGAAGTGTCATTAGTAGAATTTTGAAGGTTACAACTCTGGTGTTGTGTCTTTTGCGTTCGTCGTTGTCAAGGATTCCGCAGCTTACAACAGGGGTTGCACTGTCAAAAGGGGTCTATGCGTAAGGCAAGTCGTTTGCTTCTTGCGCAGGAGTTGCGGTGGGTAGACCTCAAAGCAAGTTGCCTTAAGGTCTACCCACTATCCTTTATTCAGAACCAATCGGAGCTCGGCGTCTTTCTGACGTCACCACAATCGCTGCAAACAAGCAGACGAACTTGCGCTCCGCATTGGCTGTCGCCACTGACAGGTTGAGAATGGCAGGGAGGTTTTTCAGTTGTCCTGTTTGCAGCACGAGGTTTCTACCTTTTATGATAATTTGGTGTTTCTCGAGCCTTGAGACTGCACGCACGGCCGAAGCATGGAGGAAGGCGTTTTCACCCTGTCGATGACTACAGATGCTTCATGGAATGTTCGTGCTCCCTCTCCCAGATCGCCATTGTAGCCAGCCTATCCACTAACTCGGCGGCACAGCTACGTCTCGTTGGAGTTTGACTGTTTGCAGCATTTCCTGCATTTTGACCGGAGGTGTGGTGGTAGCACATCCGACCAGTTGTTTATTCGGGGCTGTGAAATGCAGGCGAGCCATGAACGAGCAAAAGTCTCCGCCGCCGCCCGGATTCGCTGACCCGCCACCTCCGTACCAGGCCACCTACGACGGAGTGAACTTCCAACACGGTGAGTCTCAAGGAAAACATAGAAAAGTGCTAGTGGTCGGTGGGGAAGTGAAGATTGTTTATGACTGGGGTTCCATGCTTTCGGTAAGTACCGATAAACCCCGAACCGGTTTGATGAAAACTGCGGAAACCTGCAAGTCAAAGCCACCCCCGAATCAAAAAATTCCAAGCTCCGTGGGAAGAAATTATTTATCTATGGGGCAATTTTGTGCTGGTCCGAAATGCAGCCTCCCTGAACTGTTAGTGTTGTTTGTCAGACACCAAATATGAGTGCCAAAAAGCACAATGTCTTCGTCAAAAAAAATAAGCCCTGGAATCCCAAAATCCCATTATGACGCCACACGAATGAGTAGTACGTCGCGGAGAGTTCGGCAGACTTTACTCACAACTAGGTGTTCAGACAAACTCAAAACTCTCACTTACTACACTTCTAGAAGCTCTCTTGGTTAACCCAAGGCCATTTGTTCAGAGGCTATAAAAGTTTCTTTTGGCAGTGGTAGCTTGCAAAATGAACAGTTCACATTGTTAAGAGCATAGAACCAAAACGCATTTCTGTTTATGTGCGGTTGTTTGAAGGGATTTCATTTCTTTTGCCCCCCACACTCCTCGATCTTGCTCTAACTGCATGGCCCTGCCTCTTAAGTGTAACTCTGCTTATTTCAAAATAACTAGGGGCAATTAGTGATCTTGCACCGAGAAGTACCCGTGAACAGTTCCAAACCGTTTATTTCCCAGTAACATACAATATTTTTTGTGCAATATGTTTTTGCACTCCATCACAAACCGGAACCAAAACTTTGGCTGCAGCAGGCAACAATGGCTTTGCATTGTCGTAGCTAGGCTAGGTGGCACAAGCTTCCGCCCGTTACAAAGGGTATAGCCAGAGCCGTGTACAGAGAGAGTTCGGTCAATGGGACGAGCGGGCAGAGACGGGGGTGTGTGCACCGATGCAGATAGAGGGCTTGGCATGCTTTCTTGGCCAACCAGAAGCTGAAAAGAATCTCCTAGTGGTGGTAGCGAGAAAGAGTTTTAATAAGAGAATAAGGGTTTATTGTAGTAACTCCTCATGGTTGAAATTAGGGTGCACGTGATGTTTCGATTAGGATCATGCAAAAAGATGTAAGAAACAAATGTGCCGCTCAAACTCTTTTGCTCAGATAGTGCGTGACCACTTGGGCAGCAGATTCTTGGTGCCTGGCGTACGGATTGTGTCTATCGTTCCGCTAGTCGCGCTCTACCACCATGATTTTGGATGACCGTGATTGAAACATCACGTGCACCATATTTTCAGTCACCGAGAGTTACTCCTACACACTTATTAATTTTGTTTCTCGCGACCACTGCCAGGGTATTATTTCTGGCTTCTGGTCGGCCACATTCCAATTTGTGAAGACGCCCTGGAACACGCCCAGCCCGCTTTCGGCCAATGGCGTCTCCTCATTCGCCTCGTATACTTACCAACGAATGGCCAAACGCTGTGTAGTATATACGGCTGTGGGAATAGCCAATGCCATCCATCCAACCATGACGTAAATGCCCGCGTGGTATGAACAGCCTTGTGATCCACCATGTTACGGTGCAAAGCGCAGGTGCTGTCTGCATTGTGGTAGGCTCTGTATCCGACAAATTCTGCAGCCTGCGCTCGTGTCATAGTTCAAGCATAGTTTACGGTTTTCTTGTCATGGTGCAAACTTGGCTTACACGCTCTAGGCATCCCAGGAAACCCAGAATTACAATCGTGCACAGGCTTTATCGTTATTAAAACCATGACCGTGCCACGCCCCTTTGTCCAAAGCATCCTAGAAAGACAGTAAATTACAATCTTACGGTACCATTTTCCTTTATTAATGTGTAACCAAACATTGTGGCACGCCCCCTGCCCCAAGTGTCGCAGAATACCCAAAATTTGCAATCGTGTGTGGCCTGCCGCAAACGGTGTCCGAGCCGCTCCAAGTACCAAAAATGGCTGTGCCCGTGAGTCGCCGGTACGCAACCAATATCGTGCGATGCAGGCGGTCGTGGCATTGTCGGGCAGTGGGAGGAAAGGGTTACCAACACTCTCTATAGTAATTAAATAATAATAATTTATTGCCAACATTGCGGTACACAAGAGGGGGTCAATTAAATACCAAGTATCAAATGCAAGCTAACAAAAACACATAAAAACTAAATTCGAGACCAGTTAAGAACAAACCAAAAAGACAGACCTATCTACGCTGTATTCAACACAAAAAAAGCCTTATTTTTCTATTTTATTTTAGAAATTAAAGAAAAATGGCAGACTAACAATAGTATTGTTTACTTGCCATCTGTACAAATAGTGGGGAAAGAGGAAAAGAAAGAAAAAATTAAAATGTACGGCAAATTGCTAGGCAATTGTGTTGCATATGTGAAACGTTCTAGCATCGGAAACACTTACCCATATCGTTGTTTAGCCTGTTCAGTCAGACGGCTACGTTCACTGCGCCGTTCACAGGATAATAACGCTTGGCATGTGTACGCTTGAAATGATAAACCTGGTGATCTTCCACAACCTTGTAACCCACACCTCTCCCACCTTGCCTACCTCTCCTCCTCACTCCACCCCTGGTCACATGACCTACCTGTTAACCAATCTGTGTCGAGCAACTCGCTCCTCTCCCACCCACCGACCAATCAGTGCCGAGCCTCGTGGCCACAGTTTTATCCAGGCTTCACTTTTTGAGCTTTGCGAAATGCCGAACATCTAGCTAAAGAATGTTCCATGTTAAAAAGTTTTTTTAGTGACTAATTTTGACCGGCGATGCAGGCGCGCCTTGGGGAGTACCCGGTAATGCGGCGCCCGCCGGTGTCGACAGCATGGGCGCTCCCCCGGGCTATCCGACTGCAACGGGACAGTGGCCCCCTCCGACCGCACCGGGACAGTGGCCCCCTCCGACCACCGCGGCCAGGGTGACCGTGGTGAACGTGACCCAGGCGGGACCCTACCCCATACAGCTGACCTGCCCCAAGTGCGGGGCCCACGTGCTGACGAGCACCACATACCGACCGGGACTTCTCACCTGGCTGCTGTCGGGAGCGCTAGTGTTGCTCGGGTGAGTCGCACTTCCATGCTCAGTTCATCGGAGAGACAGTAAACTCGCAAAAGGCTTTTATTTGTAAACGCTCGGATAGAACCCGCATGTCGTAAAGTGAACATCCTCCGAAAAGTAAAACTTTTGGTGCTATGTTTACGAAATTGCTCCCCGAGACACTACACTACTGCAAAATATTTTTTTAATTGCGTGGGCTGCCAACATGCCTTATGTAACCAAACAAACTTTTGTGCCTTCTTCTTCCTCCCCCTCCCCCCTCCCCCCCCCCAAAAAAACAAACAAAAACAACAACAAAAAATATTAATGTAGCGAGACATATTTTCAGTGAGGAGCGGTTCCGAAATGTGCTATTTTGGCACATCATTCCAAAATGGAAGCATATCACAACCTAACTATTAACCACTGCCATAATCTGATTGCATCGATGCCTTTGTCATTGACGAATGAGCCGGCGGCATTAGGTGCCGAGGAAAAACGTCGATACTCCCGATGCTCTTGAGACTCTAGCCACGTCGCTTTCTCCTCAGGTGCTGGATGGGTTGCTGCCTCATTCCGTGCTGCGTGCCCGAGTGCCACGACGTCGACCACCACTGCCCGAGCTGCAAGAGCCACCTCTGCACCTACCAACGGCTCTGACTGCCCGGCGTGGCGCGGCAGGACGGATGGGACCAATTTAGGAGGCCGTGATCAGAGACGTTGGTGGAAACACCGCCTTTAGCGCAAGCACGTTTCATGACTATAAACGTAGGCTCCAGAATGAAGGCCGGTCCACACATACTTTGCAGTTCCAAAGCGGTGCCGATGCAGCGCCGACTTGAACGTAACCTAATGTGGCGTAAGGTCGGTGCTTTGTCTGTGAGGTTGCCGGCATTTCCTGCGCCGACTAAAGGTGCCGCAATGTATGTGTGAATGGGCCTTAAAGATGATGGCGGGCTAGTTAGCCAGGGCCACTGAGACATACAAAGAAGGAAAACTCGCAAGAGTTTACCGTTTTGTTGGTCTCGTCCCGCGGATGCGGTCGATAGCCAAGACGAAACTTTCCGGTCTTCAGTGTGATCGAATAGACCCCCAAGTTTTCTACCGACATCAAAGTGTTCCGTCCGGCACAAAAACCTATTTTCCAAGGGCGAAGAGACTCGTCTGTCCAGTTTTTCTAGCGGGAGCAAAGGGTGAAGTCTTCGTTGACGGCCTTCTATACTATGCTGTAAATTAGAGAAATAAAGATATCCGTGTGAAGTTAGTTATTGTGGCTTTGTTTCCTTGAAAAGACGGCAACAACCGCACCAACAGCTTCAAGGTGCGTAAAGACAGAATTGCGAAGGGACGAAGAAATCAGTAGAATGCAACAGTTTATTGGAAACTAGAACTTGCAACGGTCTCGCTCTCCGCGTTCTCCTCCTTGGCACTGCGTCCGAGGAAGACCACCTCGTCTGGAAAGAAACGCAAGGAGAGCTGACAGTAGCTTGCAGTTCTCTTTTGTCAGAATGGTTAATAGAGCTTTGGGATATTTTAATAGCATCGCAGGAGCACGCTTGCCAGCGCTTTGTCAGGGAGCAGTGTGGAGGGATCGGCGAGAATGAATGTGTGCATAGACGAGAATGAATGCGTGCATAGAAGTCATGCTTATTTACGAGCGTCGTCTGCTAGGCTCCCCTGCCAACTACAGACAGCCCCCGCGATGGACAGCTCTGTCCGCAGATAAGGAGCAGGGACCATGTGCAGTCGGCAAAAGAGCGTAATTGTGGCGATCTGTTTCAGCGTTGCCACCTAGCAGAAGCCCGGCACAACCCAAATTGAGGACTTTTCCGATGCCGACGCTGCTTCTCGGAGCTGGATGGGCTTTTGTTCAGCTTGGCAGTCTCACTAGTAACTTTTCATTCTATCTTCTTTTTTTTCTACAACGTGTTTTTGCATTCAATGCCAGCAATTACAAATTCTGCATTTGGTAGGTCTTCACCCCAGGCTTCAATGGTGTTAACTGGAGTTCTTTGTTGTTTTTTTCCTGTGCAAAGCATGTTGATGAGCCTAATTTTATCTCAATAATGTTTTAAATTTACACCTTTTTTTCAGACTTTAATTGACAGTTTCAGAAAAAATTTCTTGTCCCACTAGCACCACTGTTGTCCTGGTCTCCTTCCTTGAGATAGACTTACTAAGTCCTTTGCAACTCAAGAAGGTAAAGCGAGGGTAAGACGGTCCGGGGAGGAGGAAGAAGACGGAACGCTGGAGAAGAGAGGGGGAAACCTTCTCTCTTTAGCGCTTTAAGTTCCTCCCCGGCCTGTTTTGCCCTCGCCCTACCTTCTTGAGTTGCAACAGACTATAGTTCTCTACCCAGATTGTTGCATCTTTAAAAATTCACGGGCAGTCCTGCACCTATTTGCTTTTATGCACATCCTGCACTTTACCAAAATTATTAAAATCGTCGGCAACGCCACATTTATTATTTTGGTAATTTATGAAAAAGTGAATGCTACCAGCATATAAAGTGTGGATGACTATGATTCTTTACAGAGTGAATGCAAAAAGTTGCATTCTGAAGAGGTAGAGTTGAAAAGCCTTTGACTGTGCATTCAAACTAACAAATCGTTTGTTTAACAGGTAACTCTTCAATCGCAGCCATTTGAGACGTTACACAGATGTAGGTGTTATGTGATGACTGTAATGACTATAACTAAAAAGGAGATGTGGGATTTAGTTTATATCTGACCAACGAGCAAACGAAGCACTTTTTTGGCCCAGTTAGAATTGCCGCCAATCAAACTCGACAAACCCTAGGATCGCAGTCAGTATTTTGGAATGCTGCATGACATTGCTGGCCATAAGCAGTCTAGAATAATTAACACTAGTAGTATTGAGCATAAACATTCAGCAACGCACCTTTAATTGCATGAAAAAACTAATATTAATCCCAGTGGCACCTGCGAAATAGTGAACATTTATCACAACTTACATTTTCTTTTCTCAATCACAACACTACACCGCAGCCACTGCACCAAGACTGTGCAGTAGCTCCTTGTTCGAATGCGAGATCCTCGGGACCCGATTTGTTGAACAGACACAGGAGTTTCCTTTCATTTGGACAACATAAGGAGACTGTTTATTCTTTCAACTTTGCAGCACGACAGGTGACACGGATACAATGACGAACTACCGTGCCACAAGCGTAAGCGAACAATTGCGCCATACCACTACGGCGCGCACAATGTAAACAATAAGCGTCCTCGCATTCCGGGTGTCACGCGACATTCGCGTGCCACTCTGTGGTGCCACCTAGCACGGTTCTCGCTGCGAATAGTTGGCCACGGGTTTGGAACCTGGTAGAAGCTTTGCCTCCAGCAAACGCACCTTGCCTTCTTCCAACTTTATATGCTACGCGTGCGACGAAGTCTCCTCAAAAGCAGAAAGCTTACGCCCGAGGCGAGTGCCAACCGGGTTCTTAACCGTTAGCCGACTACGGCGGACGACACTCGCAGATGAACGTGCGTTACGTACCCGTTCTCGTCGACGTTGCTACGGCGCCCGGAACGCGTCTCCGACTTATCCGTCTAGCGTCCCAATACGCCCGTGCGTCGGGAGTGGTTCCAAAGTGGTTGCAAAAGCCCGAGCGCCCCGCCGGCAGGCGTTGCAATCCTGACAAGCAGCCGTAGGAGTTATGGAGAAAAAATAAGAATGCGAGCGTTCTCGTCGTCATGGCATTCCAACTTCCGGCTGCCGACTTTTCCGTAGACTATCAAGCTGGGGGGCTATGCAAAACGGTGGGACAAGGCGGGACGAAGGGACTGTACTGGGACATTGCCGCCTACTCATATTGGTTGGCGGTGTGGCGCCGACCAATCGCAGCAGGTGGCAATGCCCCGGTCTCGCCGTCTTGCATAGCCCCCCCCCCCCCCCCCCCCCCCCCCCCCCGGGAAGCGACCCGCGGCGGCGTCGGGTGGACGTCGGGGGACCACTTTTTAGGACGCAATGAGCAGATCGGTCGGAAATTCCTTCCGGGCGCCACAACATTGCCGCAGCGACTGGACCGTCAATCGACGCTCCCGCGACAGTAACAAAGAAAATTGCGAAGCCGTACCTGCGACCACGGTGCTGGTGATGTGCCCCACTCCCTTGGCGTCTGTCACTTCGCCGTACACCAGACGCCCCTGCACGAGGACCCTGGAACCCTTGCGCATGTGCTGGTGGACGGTGTTCCGCAGGAACGGCTTGAAGACGCTGATGCGGTGCCACTGCGTCCTCTGCTGCACCTCGCCTGCGGAACGGGGGGTCATTGCAAATGAGCCACGCTTCGGAGCAACTACACTTTGGCAGCTCTGGATTCGGGCGATCCAGCGATACAATGCGGACGGCTCGTAAAGGCAGCCTTCAAAGCCCTCCCGCGTTTGCAGTTTCCACTTCAAGGAAAGTTCATGTTTTTGTTCCTTCATTTTTTATTTGTGAGTGAATACAAGTCAGCAGATTGGTTAGGTATGCTGTCGTGTCGCTTATGTGTAGGGTGTGTATTTTCCGGTGTTTATTTGTGAGAAAAATCGGCGGATGTTTTTCGGTGTTTATTTATTTTCAAAACACCGGTGTATTTCGGTGGAACGTCTCACTACGAGGCTAAAATCGGTGATTATCGGTGGAAAAAATGCGATTGATCACAAACAGAGAGTTCCAATTTTATTCGCATATTTCATACACTTCTTCTCTAGGAAGCATCTAATTCTAACACTTGGTTATTATAGTAGATGCAAACATACCTCAAGAGGCTTGCATCCGTCATGGCAGCAGGTTCCTTGCGGTTCACAACCCACAATTATGAAAAGGCACGCTCCTGTACGACACGGACGTTAGCAGTGTCTTCCAGGAACCTCAGCAACCTCTGAATACATGGTTTGCACCGACATCACTTGGCCAGACACAATGGGGAAAGGGCACGTGAGAGCCTACCCTCCACTGCGTTAATTTTTCCACAAAAGGGGGCCATAAGAGACACAATGGGGGAAAAGGCTTATGAGAGCTTAGCTTCCACTGCGTTCACTAAACGCTTTCGACCCCTAGAAAGGAGGGCGGACTGACGCCACGTGCAAGCCATGTATAAACACTGGAAGAATGCAGGATCCACGAGATAACACGTTTGACGAACCTCTACGGGGAAAGGGTTTCGCTAGGTCGGAATTATGCCACGACCGGTGTTTTTCGGTTTTAACCAGAACGAAAAAATCCAACCACCGGTGTTTTTCGGTTTTAACCGATTTTGTATTTTCGCCACCGACGGATGTTTATCGGTGTTTTTCGGTTAAAACCGGAAAATACACATCCTACTTATGTGCCACGCAGAGCGAGCGCCTCGGAGTTGGCGTTTCTGGGCTAGTGCGTTTCACTGGCACACTTTTTTGTTTACCAGTGTGACTGTCTCGCTTTGCTATGCAAACTGCCTGTCTGCTTTTTGGCTGTTGTAAACATTGGAATAACCCACAGTTTCCAAATATTTATAAATCATTTAGGTAAAGTGGCTATGCTGCACAGTTCGTTGCTACGAGCACACCCAGAAAGTGAAATGAAAGCAGATCTATCGCTACCACGACCGCATCTGCTGGTCCTGTGGTTAAATAATAAAGAGGAAACAATCATCTTAATGTGTTGTCCTCGCATATGTATCGAGTAAACAAAAAATATGTTTGCAACATTGTCTACAGGTGCTAAACTAAAAATAAAGAAAAGAAAAAATTAAAAAAGGTGTGGCAGATTTTGTGTTTTTTCTTTAGGACCTACAGTCGCACACAGCTGTAGCCCAAAAGTGGGGTGACATCAATGACGAAGCTCGCTAAGAAATCGGTGGCTGCACGTATTAAGATATTTATTAAACATGTATTTTAGTGATGAATTCGACCTTGTGAAATTTCAAAGCGGTGCTTTTTTTCCAGTAAAAACGAGACCAAAAACTTGCAAATGACATTATAGTATAGTCGCTGAACAAGTCCGCCGTTGACCCGGCCAAGTTTGTTGGTCTCATTTTATAATAGAAATGGAGCTATGCGTTGAAATTGCACAAGGTGAAACCCACCACTAAAATACACCTATGATGAGAATTACATTGGTACATTCAGGCACCGGTGTTTTTCGGACGGTTTAGAGTAAGCTTTCACATTTATCAGAATACATCTTGCCAATTAAAATTTTCGAGCAAATTAAACCAATAGCTTGCAATTAAAAAAAAAAGGCTTTCCTTAACTGTAACTTGGTCTCGAATATTTTCTGAATTTACTGCTGGTACTGCATATGACATGAATCCTAGTTTAATGTAACCGTTTGTACTCTCTCATAGGTCGAAGAGAGCTTCAACGGTGTCGTCAGTCACAACGGGCACCACGGTGAAGTCAATCGTACATTCATTCGGAAAAAAAAAATGTACAAACGGACGAAGTCGTTCATAGTTAACGCATTAATTGAAAACAAATCTGCTCGTCGATTGTGATGAATAGAGGAAAAACAAACGCTGAGCAGTAAGCGCATTTCCCGACCGCATTCAGACAGCCAACATAGCTTGGAGAGGGCAGAACCGGAAGCAAGGCAGGCCATCAAAACGCTTCTTCTGCTTGCCGATAGATGGCGCCCAACATTTGCGCAAAAGGCCCATTGATAGATAGATGGTGCTACCTCCTTGTTACGGCTTGCTTTAAAGAAATATTGAAAGTGCCCGCGTCGACTGTGGTCTTTTAATATGAACATGATCGTTTTGCAACATACCTTTGGTTTAAAAATAAACACGGACAATGATAGCAAAACTTGAAGTAATAAAAATAAAAGAAAAGACGGTAGCATAACGAAGGCGCTGACGGCGCCCTTGCTGCCGTCAGATTTCGTCTGCGCGTCGTCCGCTTTCTTTCGCTGATTGGTTACACTTTCCAATGCTGCTCCCAAGACCTTTTTTTGTCACGGTTGGTGGGAAAACTTTCACAATGCGTCGCTTTGGACGCCACTTGGGCCACACTTTTGAGACACGGGAAGTATGAAAGCCTACTCCAGATAAACAGCGACCAATGGCTCGGAAAAGAGCCTGTCAATAGAAGCCCGCAGTTTTTGCGGTTGTCGAAGGTGATGGTCATATGTACAAAATGGTTACCTATGCTCTTCGGTCAACATGTCCACCTCGAATTTGGAGGCACTTTGCAGCCTTCAGTCACTATCCCCGAAGGCTGCCTCCTGCACTTTGTCCGTATCACGTTGAAGGCGGATATAATTCGCCCTTTTAGTTCTGTCGTCGTGCACATGCGTATTCTGTAGACCCGAGCTCTTATGAAACCCCAAACAAAAAAATCACGAATTGTCAGGGGACCGTGGGGGTCGGGGCATCGTCGGTGATTCGCGACCCATCCGGTTTCTGGGAATGGTCCCATCAAGTCGGTCCCTCACTGCTGTGGCATAGTGTGAAGGTGCTCCATCTTGCAGGAAGATGCACACCTCCTTTTTCTTGTGCGAAGCTTCCAGCTCCGGCAAGACGTCTTGTTGGAGCGTGCAAAGGTAGGCATCGCCGATGACCGTGTCCTCAAAGATTGAACCCACAACACGTTCCCTCCAAAGTCCATGCCATACTACAACCTTTGGTGGCTGGACGGCCTCTTCAATGATCCAGTGAGGGTTTGTCTCGGACCAGCAGCAGGTGCTCTACTTGTTGATGTGTCCGCCCTCATGGAAAATAGCCTCATACGTGAAAAGTAGAAACTGAAGGTGGTTCCTGTTTGTGGAGATGTGCCCAAGTTCGTCCACCCCCACAAAACTGCTTTCACCATTCCTAATCATCTGGTTGCAGCTCGAACAGGACCTGTGGCTTGAACAGATACATTTGTTGACGGATCACCCTCCATTTGATATCTCTATTGATACCAAGCTGTCTTGCAACTTGTTGCACTGAGAGTCGTGGGTTGAATGCAAGTGCCACAAGCTCGGAGTGACGTTGGTTCTGCTGTGGCAACCTCTCTTCGCGTGCTCGCGGCCTGGTCTCTAGTGTTCTTTGTGTTGAATTGAATTACCCAGAGCATGACAGTCCGTCAGATGGGTGGGCACCTACAAAAAGTGGCCCAAACCTTTGAGCGCCCGCGTCTCTCACTCCTGGTTTCTGTAAACCAAAGGACTACCTTGCCATCTTGGACAGTCAGGTGACGCAATGTGGCAGTTTTCCCACCGTGACAAGAAAGGTCTCGGGAGTAGCATTGGGAGGTGTAACCGACCAGCGAAAGAAAGCAGATGATACGCCAGGGCTGCCAACACGGAAAGTATGCGCTTCCCTAGCGAACGCCTGAAATTTCCCTATTTCCGACTAAATTTCCCTCGCTTGTCTAAATAATTACATAATACTAAATATTCATTGTTTTTTTTTTGCATCACTTCCATTTTTACGACGAAAGATACATTATGTAGCCTTTACGCCTTGTGTTTGTTTTGCAGAAATGAGTTCATTGGGCCAAAACCGCAGCCAAAGCAAATCTGGCGAAAGGACTTGTTACCGGGAGATTCAAACTAACAAATGAAGCCCCATCTTCACCTTAGATGTTATGCACGCCATCAAAATGTGGCACTGGTTAATAACTTCAATGGCACTTTTTTTTATAATGGGTCGTCCAAAACAAAAGGTGTAACACAGGCAAGAGTTCTCGAACTCGAACACAGGGAACATGACACACAATAACTACCATTTCGTGCACGGCACTTCACAAAATATTATTAGTCGTGGTAAGTCTGAAGTCTCCAGACATTGCAGTATTTCTTCTTGTACTCAGGCTTTCTTTTTCGAGAAGGCACAGCAGCACTTTCAGAAGCTTCCAGTTGGCTGATCTCTTTCTCCATAGCTTTCAAGGAGGTGATGAAAACCAATGAAAATTGATTTTGCCAAAAGGGGTTGTTCGAGCGCCCCTCAGTGTTTCCAGATGGTCGCAAAACAAACCGCCAATCAGCTGGAGAGAATAGCCCCAATGTAGCCAAAGTTGCTAAAATTCTATGTTACCTCGAAATAAAATCATAATATTCCTATGAAATTCCATATATATATATATAGGGCGCTCAACATTTCCCTCAAACTAGCAAGATTTTCCTTATTACCACATAGACCTGAAAATTGTCACGCGTATTGTGCAAGATAACCAGTCGAGACAACAATCCATCGGTTTCCTTGCGTCGATGTTGGCAACGGCCTAAGTAAATCCATTCCAACCTGCTGGAAGAGCGTCGTCGGGGCAGATACCGGCTGCAGGAGCCCTGCTGGCTTCGTCG